CGCCCTGCCCCACTCCCCGCCCCGCTCCCCCTCCCCCTGCTCTGCTCTCTGCTCCTGTGCGTCGCCCTGCCTCCTCCGCGTCGACCTCCCCCCCTCCCCCGCCCTCCGCCCTTCCCGGGCCACTCCAGCTGCTCACCTTCCGCGCCTGCCTGCTCCTCCCCCCCGCGCCCCTCTCCCCCGCGCCCACGTCCCTCCCAGGCAGCCCGGCGTTGGGGGAAGGCAGGGGGCGCGGGGACCTGCCTGCAGCGCGGGGGGAGCGCAGCCCCTCGCTGGGCGACCTGAGCCCGTCGGTGGGCGACTTGGAGCGCGCCCTGGGCGACCGCGGCGCCTCCCTAGGCGACCTGGGCCGCGCCTGCGACCATACCTGCCCGCCCCGCGCGCCCCTTCCTGCTCTGCTTCCCCCACCCCCCTCCCCCAGCCCCCCCCGCTCCTCTGGCTCTGACCCAGCCTTGCGCAGCACCCTCCCCCCTCCGCCTGCGCTCCTCAGCGTCCCGCGGGGCGACTGTTCGCGGAAGGACCGCGTGCGCGCGGCAGGGCGCGCGGTGGAGGCAGCAGCGGCGCTAGACCCGCCCGCGCGGCTGGCGCTGGCGGCGCTGGGGGGGTTGGAGGAGCCCTCCTGCATGGACTTGCACCGCCACGCACCGTCCTTCACCGCTCTCGTCCTGGGCGACCGCGGCGAGCGAGCAGGCGCCTGGCGCGCGCGTGGCTGCCGCGCGCCCCGCGCAGCGAGGGGGGAGAGCGCGCGCTCCGGCCTGGGCGACTTCGGGGGGCGGCTCGGGGCGGCGACGGGGCCGTCGTCAATCAGGGGGATGTCCTCCCCGCCCTCCGCGCCGTATTGCTCGCCGCACTCCACGCTTCTCTCCCCCGTGTCGTGCGCCTCCGGAGGCTCCGCGCAGGAGCCGTCCGCGGCGTGGTCGGCGCGCGCGTCAACAAGGTACGCCTCGAGCGACGGGCTCAAGGGGAGCCCCGCCAGCTGCTGCGCGTGGTGCAGCGCGGAGGGAAGGCTGTCGCTGGGCGGGGGAGGGGTGCTGTGGGGGGTGTGGTACTCCTCGCCCTCGCTGCCACTGCTGCCTGTCCCCGACTGCCCGCCAGCGCGGGTGTCTGCGCGGGTGCCTGCGCGGGTGTCTGCGCGGGTGTCTGCGCGGGTGTCTGCGCGGGTGTCTGCGCGGGTGCCTGCGCCTGCTCGAGGCGACACGGCCTTTGGAGACGACGTGGCACGGGGCGATCGCGCTGAGGGCGACAGGCGCCGGGGCGAGTGGGCGCGCGGAGAAGACGCGTCGAGGGGCCTGGCAGCTGGGGGTGCAGCGCGCAGTCGCGGTTCAGCGTGGGGAGGGGGCGAGGGGAACGGCGCTCGCTGCTCCCCCTGCCCCTTCTGCTCCGTCTGCTCCCATCCCTCGTGACCCCCCGTATCCCCAGCCGCCATCTCGTCCGCACCTTCGCTGCTATCCGTTGCATCTTCACCGTTCATCGCCCCAGGCCCCACCCATGTTACCCTGCTCTCCTCCGCTCCATCAATCCCCCTCTCCCTCCCCTTTCGCCCCCGGGGCGACTGTTGGCCCATTCCGCCGCGCGCACGGCCGCTCTCCGGCCCCCCTTCCTCGTTGCCCATGGTGGCGGCTGCACTAGGGGGTGGCTGTATAGCGCGCGCATCTGAAAATCCTCTTCTCTCTACAATCACAGGCCGGGGCGACAGTCGCTTGTACTTGCCTTGCGCCTTCTGCCCTCGTCCCGCCGCCGCCGCGCCTGTTTCTTCCCCTGCCCTCGTTTCCGTCTCACCAGTACCCATCTCCCCCTGCCCCGCCGTTGCAGCCTCACTGTCCCCTCTTACGCCTTGCCCCGCTCCATCCTCTGCTTCCGCACTCGCTGTCTCTGCGCCCTCTTCCGCCGCTTTTCCCCCTCCCTCCGCACCCATCGCCCCGCCTTCCCTGCAAGCTACCGATTCGGCGCGCTTATCCTCCCCGCCTCTCGCGCCAGAACCCACTGCCGCCTGGACGCACGCCACCGTGTCGCACCCGACTCCTCCAGTGCCGCCCTTCCCCGCTTCTTCCCCCATACAGTCACTCTCCCAACAGTCACTGTCCATCTCCTCCGCAATCGCCGCGGCGGCAGCGGCGGCGGCGCTGGCGGCCTCTTTCGCGGCGGCAGCAGCCGCCTCTGCGGCCATCGCGGCGGCTTGCGCGGCCTTTGCCGCCGCCGCCGCCGCTTCCACCGCCGCAGCCGGCACGCGCCGCCGGCCCTTCCGCCCCTGCGCGGATTCCCGCCCTTCGTCGGGGGAAGAAGCCGCGGGGGCCATGGTATGGCCGCATTTGGGACAAAGCGCGGCTGCGGTCTTTGGTTGCGCTGACGCATGGCCGAGAGCGACGGGACAAGACGAGGGCGAGAATTCAACCGTGGGTGGGTCAGCAGCGAGGGCAGCAGCTGTCCCATTTCGAGTCGGTATCGCAAGCACGGGATGCGCTTGTACCAGTAGCTGCTGCTGCAGCTGCTGTTGCGGCTTGGCGCGCTGCACGGCGAGAGAGATTGCCCTGCGAATGGTTGGAATGAACCCGCCTTCTGGTGGCGATATTGGCGAAGGCGACCACGCTGGCGACGCCGAAGATGCCGGTGAACCCGGTAACTCAAGTTCGACTGGCGCTACCCTAACCGGAGCCACCGAGCCTAGAGAGGGGGTTTGGCCATCGGTAGAGAAAGGGTTGGCGAATTGCGGACTAAAAGAGGCGGGGGCGACGGTGACTGATCCGACTGCTACCGCGTTCGGGGAAAACGCTGGTACCCCTGCGTTGCTGGTCCTACCGCTGATGCCACTAGCGCCGCTCACGCCACTAGCGCTGCTTCCGCTACTGCCGCTGAAGCTGATCCCGCTGCCGTAGCTGCTGTCTCTTGCGTGGCTGCTGGTGATGCTGCCACGTCGACTCAGCGTGGTCGCGGCCAGGAGGTGCGGCAGATGTGCCTGCAGCCCCCCCAACTGGTTACTACCTCCCCGCCGGTGTCCCCCCGGCGAAACCGTCGCTTGCGCTGTTTCGCCGTTAGCATTTTGCTGCTGCGGCAGCTGCGGAGAGTTCAAGGGCAGTCCTTCCGCAAGCGCGCGCGGGTCATCGGGGTCGACCTTTACAGTCGCGGGCTGCGCGTTCGACGGTGGTTCCAAGAAATCGAGTCGTTCTTTCTGCATCATGTTCCTAATGCGCGCCGCGTGTTCGCTCGTCCTCTCCTTCAAGCTTCCCGAGAATGAGGACGAATCGTAGCGCTGCGAAGGCGACGCCAGGAGAGTCGCTCGCGTCGCTTGGTGAGTCGGCCCGATGGCCTGAGAGCGGGTTCGGCCAAGCGGCCGCCGGGACGCCTCGTCGCCCCGAAGGTATCCGTTGGTCCTGTCGCCGACAGCTTCTGGCATTGCCGCGTCTACGGCCGTTTGCTCCCCCGCCGCATCTTTCCGCCGTGTTGCGCCAGCGCCATCCACCGCGGCTCCGTCGTTGCCGCAGATTTCTAGCAAAGGCGGGAGTTGTGACAGCGGCGAGTGCGGTGGGGGAACGAACAGGGTGGGCGACGCCCAAGCTTGGTTCGCATCCCGCAAATGCGAGGTTGCTGTCGCGAGCGACACGCTCCTACGATGGAAGGCAGCCCGCGCGTTGTCCGGATCGAACGGCAGGTCGGAATCGCGCGAGATAGTTGTCATCATCTCGTTAACCAGGCAGCCTCCCTCTGAAACTGAAGCTGTTGCAATCTAACCTTACACAGCCAGCATCTCCTGGAACTAGCTCCTAAAGCGCAATGGATGTGGACGAAGAAACTGTGCTGCAGCGAGGATGCCTTGGGCTTGGACGATTTTTTTTTTTTTTTTTTGGGCTTTAAGGAGATCCCCGGAGGAAACCAGCCCCCCGTAGGGAGAAGGCGCTTCGGGACGACGTGGGCGCGGGGGAGGGAAGAGGAAACAGTGCCATTTCTGCTGGACTGGACGAGATGGGGCTGCGCCTGCGCTGCTGGCTGGACTTACAGCGTGCGATCTCGAAGGTGGGGAGGGGGGCAGTGGGCAAACGACTGGCGGGGCAGGTGTTTTCCGTTTCGCCCAGTGTTGCGTAGTGCAGCGGGCTTTTTGTAGAAAATACAGTCACATTCGATCGTCTGTGTAGTTTTTCGTGGCGCGTCGCTCCAACCACTGCTGAAGGGAATGTGAGGGGACGTGTCAGGCTGGGAGGGACGGGGGAGAGGAGTTGGGGGGGAGGCGGAAACAGAGGGGGCAGGTCATCAATGTCGCGCAAAGAATGGTCAACGTACGGCGCACATTCCCACAGTTGTGGAGATCGCGGGGAGAGGGGGGAAGGGGGGCCGACGATTTCGACAGCAATGCAGCCAGTCCAACGCGGAAGGCTCAGCCAGCAAAACGTGACCCACCCAGTTGGAGAGCTTGTCGTCATGCGAATAATTTACGCTGCATGAAAAGAACAGCACGAAACAAGCAGCACGAGTTGCGATAAATGCAGAGGTGGTCAAATGTCGTGTTCGCTGCACTCAGTTTAACATCAGTTACGAAAAGTTCTATTCACTATATGTTTGGGTTTGCATGTTTCAGTTTCCAACCGCTCACAGCTTATAGCGCGGACCTCAAGTGTAACTATTACGGCGGCACGCAGAGAACCTGGCTCCTTGCGACCTGGTAGTGATTAGAGCTGCCGCGTGATGCGCGCAGCATAGGGCCGCCATAGCTGTGACGTTCCCTATCCACACGCGATGGGGACATCAGGGTTTGAGAAACATGAAAGAAGATTGAGTCAGGTCCTGCTTGTGGTTTCGGTGCTGATCGCAGCAGCATGGGACGCGGGGATTCAGGTAAGGTTGTCACTCTGTGCTTCCTGACGTGGTCCTCCTTTCGCCAAATATCGCCATTGAATGTTTGGACTTTCGTCCGCTTTCGGGTCGACTCACTGTTTGACGAGTTGAAGTGAATCGCGCTTCGCGATCGTTGGTGGCAGGTGCACGCGGCGCGCAGCGGCAATCTCAAGGACGAGATGTTCGCGATGTTCGACGCCAAGGACGAGGGCCAGCTGTCCGACGATGATTTGCTGCTGCAATGTACGGTGTTGTCACGCTCCTTGCTTTCACCACCCTCGTTCCTCCGTTGACCTCTTCACAGTGTTATCTTGCTGTGCCCAGCCGCATCCACCTTGCGTGGACAAGGATGGTGCTCCTCATTCCCTCTATCCCTCCCCCAACGCTTATGTGCTTCCTATCCCTGCTGCGCACATTCCCTTGCCTATCACCCCTCTTTCAGCGAAGCTCCCTTGCCTCACTCCCATCGCCCGTCGTCCCAGCTCTTCACCCTCCCTCATTCCTGCTAACAAGTCTCCCTCTTTCCGTCTTCCGTATCTCTGTCTTCCCTGCTCCTCCTTGTGCCCATCCCCCCCTGCTCATCCCTGCTGCTTCCCCCTCCTCCCGCTCGCTCCGCCCTGTCAACGCGCGTGACGATGCGCGCCTGCAGCGTGGGACGACCTGAAGCGGCCCAGCAAGTTCTATAACGGGTACAACGAGGTGGACCACTACGTCAAGCAAGGTGCGTGCGGCGTGCCCCACCCTTGAGCTTTGAGCCGTTGCAAATCGTGTGTTTGGGCATTGCCGGATTGGCTGGTGGCATCATGTGAGATCAGATCAGATCAGATTAAATCAGATCAGATCAGATCAGATCATATGTTATCAGCAGGGCACATCTCCCTGCAGCAGCACCACCCTGCAGATTCCATGACTGTGTCCCCCTCAGCCCTCTCTACCCTCGCTGTCCTCACTCTTGCTCCAACCGCTGTGTGACTGTATTGGGTGGTGCAATGGGGGCGGGTGGCAGGCAACCTGGCGGAGTACCTGGGGCTGAAGGCAGTGCGCGCCATCCACGTGCCCATCCCCGTCAACCTCATCTTCATCGGCTTCAATGCCTCCGGCGACCACGGTGGGTCGCGGGCACGGTGGGTGGCAATGACTGCAGGTTGCAATCTATGGACTGCACCCCCATGCAACCCCACGCACCCGCATGCAACCCCATGCACCCGCATGCACTCCCTCACTCCATGCTCACTTGTGCACACTTGTGCGCCCACCCACATGCTCAGTGACCACGTGCATCAACTCACCCACCACACACCCACCCACCCACCCACCCACCCACCCGATTGCCCACCGACGCACGTGTCCTGTGGTGGGCGAGCAGGCATGCGCGTGCGCAAGGGCGCCATCCACCCACCTGCCCACGTGCATCAACTCACCCTCGAGGCACCCACCCACCCGTGTGCACGCAGGCATGCGCATGAGGGAGGGCGACATGAGGCGCTGGCTGCAGCGCATGGACCACGTGGAGGAGCACACGCGCGCGCCCCTCAACTGGCCCTCCCTCCTCGCCCGCCTCGCTCACACCATGGGGGCGGGCGGCGAGCTGGTGCGCAGTGATGATGATGACGACGACGACGAGGAGGAGGAGGGGGAGGGGGAGGGGGAGGGGTTAGAGCATGACCTCCCGCTAATCAGCAGCGTGCACTACAAGTGAGCTGCTCCCTGTGTTTCATTGTTTCTCTCTGTGTTTCATTGTTGCTCCCTGTGTTTCATTGCTGCTCCCTGTGTTTCATTGTTGCTCCCTGTGCTTCATTGTTGCTCCCTGTGTTTCATTGTTGCTCCCTGTGTTTCATTGTTGCTCCCTCGCTCCACTCCACCATACCTGTTTGAGTGACCTTGTCTTTTCGTTCAAGCATGGTTGGTGGGAGTCTCACTCTGCTCTGACCACCTGCCATGAATCATGCCTGGGAATGAGTTTCGCTGCTGTGCAACCCTGCTCCCTCCCTGCCATTCCCCATCCTCCCTGTGCTGCGTCTCACATGTGTGCCGCGCCGTGCATGCATACCCCATCTTGCCCCGTGCAGCTACACGGTGCATGTGATGGAGATGGGCGAGCGCGTGGCGTCCGTCTTCCAAGCAGCAGTGCGCACACTCTCCCGCCCCGACGACCCCACCGCTGCTGCTGCCTCCCACGACGACGACGACGACCCCGCCGACTCGCCCCCGCACCCCCACCACCCCTCCTCCTCATCATCATCCGGGGCGGGCGGCGCGGGGCAGCAGCAGTGGTACCAGGTGGACATGGGCGCCATGGCGCATGTGGTGGACAGCCTGGTGGACTCGCTGCAGCTCGATGCCTCCGCCTACAACGTGATTGTGCTCAACCTCAACCGCGCTCGCGCTCGCAGGCGATATGGCTACAGGTGAGGCCACGGCGTGGGATGGCATGGCATGGATGGTTCGGCATGGATGGTACGGCATGGATGGCACGGCATGGATGGTACGGCATGGATGGTACGGCATGGATGGTACGGCATGGATGGTACGGCATGGATGGTACGGCATGGATGGTATGGCATGGATGGTACGGCATGGATGGTACGGCATGGATGGTACGGCATGGATGGTACGGCATGGATGGTACAGCATGGATGGTACGGCATGGATGGTACGGCATGGATGGTACGGCATGGATGGTACGGCATGGATGGTACGGCATGGATGGTACGGCATGGGGGTCATGGCTCTCCTTTGTCCTCCTCATCCTGTTGTCCTGAACCGACCTTTCACCCGTTCCCCCGTGCCACCCTTCGCGCCCCTACCCCCTAACAACACCTTGTGCAGGCTGGGTCTGTCCAATGCAGAGTTCAACATGCTCAAGACGGTATTCCCCATGCTCCATGCCCCATGCCCCATGCCCCATGCTCCATGCTCCATGCCCCATGCCCCATGCCCCATGCTCCATGCTCCATGCCCCATGCCCCATGCTCCATGCTCCATGCCCCATGCTCCATGCCCCATGCTCCATGCTCCATGCCCCATGCTCCATGCTCCATGTCTCATGCCCCATGCTCCATGCTCCATGCCCCATGCCCCATGCTCCATGCCCCATGCCCCATGCTCCATGCCCCATGCCCCATGCCCCATGCCCCATGCACCATGCACCATGCACCATGCCCAATGCACCATGTACCATCAATCAGCATGCATTGCAACCCCCACTGCATCGCCCATATTTTTCTTTCCAGTCCCCGCCTCTCTGCGCACTGCCCCTCCCACATCCCCCTGTGCCTGCCCTTTCCAACCCACCCCGTGCACTCCCGCCGCCCCCCCTCGCTGCCTCCCCACGCCCCTGCTTCCCTGGGGGCAGGACGACCGGCTGAGGCAGCACCTGCTGTCGCCAGGGCTGGAGAAGGTGCCGCAGGTGCTGGGTGAGTGGCACTGGCATGTGTTCGTTAAAGGTCCTGCTGGGTGAGTGGTCTGTACTCGTTATAAGGTGCTGGCTGCCATGGTTTTATCTTCGACTGAGTGCTGATTGACTGCACCTGCACGCTATTCAAGCTGCTGCTTCCACAAGTCGCGTTCTGAAACGCCGCTTCAGCAAGATTTTTCTCTCCCATTCCACCTCTTTCCCTTCTCCTCCCACCTCTCTCCCCCCTCGTCCTCCACCAGACGAGCAGCACGTGCCGCAGCCACTCTTCTCCTCGCGTCCGGGTCACAAGCTCGCGTGGCGCCACATTGAGCCGCATGAAATCGTGAGCCGCATTCCCGGGCCTTGCAGTGAGGTCGCTGCTGCTGGGGCGCAGAGTGTTGTGGCATGCGGTGCTGCACTGCTGCCCATGTACATGCAATGCAATGCAATGCACGAACCTGTTTGATGTTGACAGCATAAGGATGCAACGTGGCCACAGTGAATCTTGCACTGCCTTAGCTGCATTTCTTTTTCCTTGGTTTTTCTTTTGCTTCCAACACCCCTCTGCCTCTTCTGCCTTATGTTTTCCCCCTCTCGCCCGTTCCCCACGGTGCATGTGTGCAGGTGCCATGGGCGGCGCGGATGACAGCGCTGCTGGGCACAGTGGAGCGAGTGGTGAGCGAGCGCGGAGACCCGCGTGCCAGCGCCGCCCGCAAGGCACAGCAGCTGCTCACCTCGGGGGACCCCCGCCGCGCCCGCGCCCTGCGCGCCGCCCTGCAAGAGGCCGATGCCAGCTGGCAGGAGCAGTGCCTGACTGACACGTGGATTGGCACCCGCAGGTGGGGCGGAGGGGAGACGGGTGGAGAGGCGGGGGATGGGAGGGGGGATGGTGGATGGGATGTGGTGAGAGTGGAAGGGACTGAGGTGGGAGGATGGGAAGCAAAGGATTAGATGGGAGGGTGGATGGATGAGGGTGTTGGATGGAAGCAGAGGCGGGGTGATTGTGTGCGTCATTCCTTACTTCCCCATCCCTGCCCCCCACCCTCACCCCCCTGCAACACCCCCGTCCTCACCACCAGGTGGGCGCTCATGGACCTGTCTGCTGGCCCCTTCTCCTGGGGGCCCCTCTCCCCCGCCCCCCACCGCCCCGCTGCTGCCGCTGCCACCCCCACTGCACCTCTCAACACTGCTGCTGCTGCGGCTGTTGGTGGTGCTGCTGCGGCTGTTGGTGGTGCTGCTGGTGGGGCAGGAGGGAACGGCAGCAGCAGCAGTGTCATGGGGGATGGGTGGAGCAGCAGCAGCGTGGTAGCGGTGGATGTGGGGGCGGGTGGCAGTGCAGCATGGGGAGTGAGGTCGGAGGCCAGCCTACCCTCCATAGACCGCTACTTCCATGCCCTCTCGCATGCTTCCTCAGGTGGGTGCCCTGGGCTGGGGTGGGCTGGGGTGGGGTGGGGTGGGGTGGGGTGGGCGCGCAGAGGCTGCCGCTGGTAAGGGTGACCCGCAAGTGCAGGTGTGCCTGTCTGCCGTCCTGCCTCTCTGCAACCCCCCCAGTCCACCCCATCCTCCTGTACGCCTCCTCACCTCGTGCACACCAACTCTCTCTGTCTCACATCACACCACTCACATCTCCGCTCGGGTCGTGGTTGCTGCCCCATGGCAATGTGAGTCACCCCCCCCCCCCCCCACGTGTGTGCGGCGAGCAGAGGCGTGGGAGGGCGAGCTGAGGGGGCGCCTGGAGCGCATGGCAGAGGAGCGGCTGGAGGCGGTGGAGGAGGGCGAGGGCGAGGGCGAGGGCGAGGGGCAGCACGCGGTGGACGTGCTGCTGGCGGAGCTTGACGTCTACCACACCTTCGCCGCCCGCCACTGCACTCACCGCGCCGTCCCCAGCGCTCTCTGCCGCGGTGGGTGGGTGGGTGCAAGGGGTGGTTGGGTGCAAGGGGTGGTTGGGTGCAAGGGGTGGGTGGGTGGGTGCAAGGGGTGGGTGGGTGCAAGGGGTGGTTGGGTGCAAGGGGTGGTTGGGTGCAAGGGGTGGTTGGGTGCAAGGGGTGGTTGGGTGCAAGGGGTGGTTGGGTGCAAGGGGTGGTGGGTGCAGGGTGGGTGGGTGCAAGGGGTGGGTGGGTGCAAGGGGTGGGTGGGTGGGTGCAAGGGGTGGGTGGGTGGGTGCAAGGGGTGGGTGGGTGGGTGCAAGGGGTGGGTGGGTGGGTGCAAGGGGTGGGTGGGTGGGTGCAAGGGGTGGGTGGGTGGGTGCAAGGGGTGGTTGGTCCTGCTTTCGTGCACGCATTGCATGATGCTTGCTTCAATGGGGGGGGATGGTTTGGGCTGGCTGGTGCATGTTGGCTGCATGCAAGAAATGCACCGCCACGCTGCCAGAGCACACCAAGAGCACTGCACGCCTCTTGCTCCCTCTCCCCCAATGTGCACGTGCGTGTGTTGCGCGCAGAGCTGCAGCAGAAGCTGGAGGAGGTGAAGGACGACCTCGCCAAGCACCAGGGCGGCAGCGCCACGGCCGGCAGCGTCTTCACGGGGCGCAGCGTGCGGGCGGCACTGGAGCGCCTGCACAGCTGGAAGTTCCAGAGTGTGCCGCCCGACAGGCATGCGGGCAAGGGCGGGGCGGGGGAGAGCAGCCCTGCAGTGACGCGCGCGTGGGACATGCTCATGGCTGAGCTGGCGGCCACGCTGGCATCCGCCATGCGCCACGTCATCACGCCGTCCACAGCTGCTGGCGCGTACCACTTCTACGAGCGCGTGTCCTTCCACCTCTACATCATCTCCCACCAGGTGGGGGCGCGCTTAGGGTGACGTGGCATGGTGTGGCAAGGCGTGGCATGGCTGACGTGGCTTGGCATGGCATCAGGTGAAGAGATAGCGATGGCAAGCCTGCATGGGTGCACATCACATCACAACTGCGACCTCATGCATTCCCACCCCTGCATGCCCAACCCTTCTTCCCTCCCGCATGCCCCTCTGCCAGGCGTACTACGAGAGGCGCCACACACCACAGTACGTGGAGGAGTTCAAGGCGGAGGTGCAGAAGCTGTGCCTGCCGGGCCAGCGCTTCCACTTCTCCACCTACCGGTGCGTCAGTGCACGTGGGGCGGGGTGTGAAGGCCAGGCTGCTGCTCATCTCCACTCGTATTACCTCCTGCTTCCTTTGCCTGGGCTTCCTGACATGCCGCTCACATGTCACCACACCCACTGCCACCACCCACCTGTCCCACTCGCCCCAACCTCCCCTCACCACCCTATCCTTCCCCCACCTTCCACCCCGCTCCCTCTGCCGGCCAGGCTGTCAGTGGCGGAGGACGCGGCCCTGGCGACGGCCTTCTCCGCCTCCATCCACTTCACCCCTTCCTTACTCGCCCCTACCTTTCCTCACCATCCCCCCGCCTCCCACCTCCCCTCGTCCCCCTGTTCCCCCCCCAGGCTGTCTGTGGCGGAGGACGCGGCCCTGGCGACGGCCTTCTCCGCCTCGCTGCGCGCCGCCGTGCTGCCCTCCGCGGCCGCGGGTGGCAAGGCGTCAGCGGGGGGGCGCGTGCAGCTGTACCTGGACTCGCACGTGCTGCAGCACCAGCTGCGCTCGCTGGGGGACGACAGCCTGCAGCGATGTGAGGTGGCAGAGATGGGAGACGAGATGTGCTGGGACTCGCTGCGGGGCCTCATTGCATGACGCCACACCACCTCCTCCTCGCCTCCTCATCCCTCTTCTCTCCTCTTCACACCGCTCGATTCCCTCTCTCCTCTTTTCTCACCTCCTTCCTTGCTTCTCCTCTCCCCAGTCGCATGCACTCGGCATCTCTTTTTCCTCTGCCTCCCCCATCCCCTTTTCCACCCCTCAGCACGCCTCACATCCTTGCGCACCTCTCTGACATCCATTCCGCGTGCACCTCTCTGACATCCATTCCGCGTGCACCTCTCTGACATCCATTCCGCGTGCACCTCTCTGACATCCATTCCGCGTGCACCGCTACACGCTCTGTGCCTCTCGTCCCTCCATCCACCCGTGTGCAGTGAAGCGCAGTCGGGGGGAGCGCGCGCAGCTGGACGTGCCGGTGTTCTTCTTTGCCATCACGTCAGACCCCATCCTTATCGACCAATCGCTGCTCGCCAAGTCACTTCCTGACATGGTGCTCTCAGTGCAGCTGCCGCACCGCCACTGGCCCACCGGCGTCACCTGCAACGGCAAAGAGATGCACGCCGACCTGCGGTGGGTGTGACATGCACGCGTGCTTGCTCTGTGTGACCACCCTATGGGTTTGGGTTTGGGGTGACCCTGGGTCTGGGCTGTCTTGTGTTATGCTGCCGTGTGCAGATGTACCAGCCAGCCTGCGCTGCCACCATCACGCCATGCCACCAGTTCCCTCCCCCTTTTTAGCATTCTCATACCTCGTTTCCCCTATTCCTCATTCCCAAATCTCACTCTTTCCTGCTCCTTCTCCCCCCTGCCCTCCTCCCCACCCAGCGACCCCCTGGCGGCAGTGCTAGCGGCCACAATGGAGCACCTGGCGGGGCTACTGCCAGCTCACATTTCCTTCTCCGCCGCCCACTCCTTTGTCGTTCAGGTCATTCCCTTGCTGCCTCTCATGTGATTCTTGTGATGCCTCTCAGGTGATTCTTGTGATGCCTCTCAGGTGATTCTTGTACTGCCTCTCAGGTGATTCTTGTACTGCCTCTCAGGTGATTCTTGTACTGCCTCTCAGGTGAATTTGTGGTGGCTTTCATGAATTGTTTGCTGAATGTTTGGTGGTGATTCCCTCAGGTACCTTGTTCTGTTTCACGAGAGCTCATCATTTCTACCCTGACCTCCCTACCTCACCCTACCACAATCCACCACCTCTCAACCGCACTGCACCCATGCAGGACTGGCGGTGGGCGGCGGGGGGGCATCCCTTGGCGGCCATCGGAGGGGGCCTGCTGGGAGGAGGAGGGGCGAGCAGCGCTCATGTGTCATCACTGCAACAGGACGCCATGGCGCGGTCGTTCGTGGTGACGGCGCTGGACGAGGCTGTTGCCACTGTCAACCGTGCCATTGCACACCTCGCTGCTGAGACCACCCGTGAGTTCCCCCTCGCCTGCCTGTGTACCTACCTGTCTGCTGGGATGTATGTGCGCTGTGCTACAACTTGTTGGGTGCTGGGTGTGCCGAGTGTTGTGCTGCTCAAGGCACCATGGTTGTTTGTGCTGCTGCTGCGTGGAGTGATACGCCGTTTGCTGTCGTCGTTCTTCCATGCAGTCACCACGCCTCATCTGCACTTTTCGGTTCTCATCGTTGCTACAGTCATGGCTACGGTGTTACAGCATGACCCACCCCCTCTCCCCCCTTCCCTTTCCACTCCATCCAATCAGACGAGGACACGTATGCGGTGTTCAAGCGGTGGGAGCGGCAGCTAGCGGGGCAGTACAACGCGGTGGTGGAGGGGTGGCGGCGGGTGGCGGCAGCGGTGGAGGCCATGGACTATGGGGGCGCGCTGCACCTGCTGCCAGGGATTGAGGCCGCTGCTGCAAGGTATGGTGCTGGGGTGATGGGGCTGTGATGGGAGGCGAGGGGCTTGGCGTGTGCGGTGTGTTATGTGCGTGCTGCTGCTCCCGCTCCCCTTGCCTGCTCCCACCTCCTCGCCCTGGGCCTGGATCATCGTTACCGTACCCGTTTTCTCACCTGTAACCCCACCACACTCTGCCACACCACCCCCCATGGCACCCCACCTCACACACGCAGGTGGGAGGGGGAGGTGCGGGAGGTGGTGGCGCTGCTGCACCCGGCTCGCTGCACCAAGCAGCGGCGCCTGCAGGTGGGGCGAGGAGGGCTGCTGCCGCTGCTCTGCTGCCTCTCCGTGCTGTTGCTGCTGCTGCTCTGTGTGCTGCTGCGCAAGAGGAAGATCAAACCCAAGGTCAACTAGAGGCATGGATTAACTGGGAGGATTCATCTAAATGGGTGTGCTGCGTCGCGCCACTTTCTTCATCTATAACACACAGTAACAATTCTGAAGGCTCGGTTGAGGGCATTGACAACATGGTTGGGGTTTCAGAGTACCGTAGAAGGGAAGGTGGGGATTCTGGAATGTCTATCATGTAATGTAACTTCTCTCAAGCTGTATGTACCGTATGTCACAGCATCGTGCACAACCTACCGTATTGTTGATTTCATGGACAAGCATTGAGACTAAAGCATCAGTTGACCTACAACACCAATTTGTACAGCTAGAGGCAGTATGCTTTGAAGCAACTGCCGTTGCAAACAAACCAGGAAGAATCACTTTCCCACCATTATTGAACTTACATAGCACGGGCAGCAAGCCATACAGCTGGATGGGCGCAGTGCAACACTACGCCGTCAGCCTAGAGCCAACGGCAGCCTCTGGTGGAGTGGAGTGTGTGAGGGCTGCTTGCACTACAGGCTGCCTTCCCCCCCTGCCCTCCCTGCTGCAGCATGCAGCATGCAACTCAGCACATAAAAAGAGACGCCCAGCAAGGGTGTCACCTCACAGCAGGTCCCTGGCGGGCGCGTGTGTGCCTCACTTTCACAGCAGCGCACAGCAGGTCACAGCACCTTGCGGACCTGCACGCTTTGCCTGGCCCCCACGGCCTCCTGCCCACCCGCCACATCAGAGACGGCGATGATGAGATCGCCCTCCGCCACCAGGCCCCTCGCCTGGGGGGGTGGGGAACGGGTTGGGGCGGGGGGGACGCGAGGGGTTGTACAAGAGGGGTGGGGGAGTGGCTGAGAGAGGGAAGCAGCATGGTGCTGTGAGAGGGAAGTGGCGTGGTGCTGTGAGAGGGAGAGGCGAAGAGTGGCAGAGAGCAGGGAGGAGGGGAGGGAAGTGCAAGGCAGAGAGGGAGGTGGAGTGGAAGGACCGTAGAGTGCTGGACTCAATCCCTGCAACCCGTTTGGCACAGCAGATTCAGACCTGCAGTGTGAAGGCAGGGTCATCCCGTGGATCATGTACACCTCACGCTCGTACACCTCACGCTCGTACACCTCACGCTCGTACACCTCATGCTCGTACACCTCACGCTCGTACACCTCACGCTCCCACACCTCACGCTCCCACACCTCACGCTCCCACACCTCACGCTCCCACACCCCACCACCTGCCCTGCCCCGCTGCCCCACCCACCTTGAGCACGGCGAAGGCGCGCCGCATGTTGCCCTCGGCGTCGTCTGAGAGGTCGAGGCGGAATGGCACGAGGCCCCAGTACACACTCATGTGCTGCCTCACCGCCTGGTGTGAGGGGCAGGAGGGGTTGAGCAGGACAGGGCCGGGGAGGGTGAGCGGGAAGGTGAACGCGATGAGCCCAGGAGGGGAACGAGGCAGGTGGACGTTGGTTAGAGCACATTGCAAGGCATCTATACAAGATACGTTGCAACAGAGGTAGGGAGTACCTGGGAGGGCGTGACGGCAAAGATGGGGCAGTTGGGGCGGCAGCGCGAGAGCAACGACGCCATGTAGCCCCTCTGGGTGAAGGCGATTATTGCTTTTGCCCCCAGACGCATGGCTGCACAGAGTGGGCACGGGGAGGGGGGAGAATGGCGAGAGGAGGCGAACACAGGGAGAGAATGGGAAGGTATGGAGGTAGTGTGGGGTACATGTGCAGTTGAGTGTATCCCTGAGATGACGAGTCATGCACCCTCCCCTCCACGCTGCCATCACCAACCACCCCCTGCGCTCGGCGCCACACAGGCAGTCGGGCCACACAGGCAGTGGGGCCACACAGGCAGTGGGGCCACACGCACCCATCTGGGCAGCGGCTGCGCAGATCTGTTCGGACATGCGGTCCCGCAGCGAGTGCGACAGCTCCGGCAGCAGCGCCACGCGCTCCACCGCCGTGCGCCCGTCCGTGGCCGCCGCACCGGGGCCCCCCTCGTATCCGCCCTGCCCCTCCTCGATGGCCTCAAAGCGCTCTGCAACGGTGCGCAGCACGTCGAGGGCTTTAAGAGGGAACTGCCCCATGGCCGACTCCCCCGACAGCATCAGCGCGTCCGCCTGCTGATGCACCGCCTCCGCCGTGTCCGCCACCTGCAAGGGGGGGGGGGTGGGGGGAGGGGATGGGAAGGCGGAGGGAGGAGAGCGGATGGGGGAGAGGAAGGGAGGAGAACGAAGTTAGCCGGTGAGGGGAGCATGGAGATGTATTCCCTTCCAACAATGCCAAGACTCTCATCTTGAGCTGCCAGTGAGCACCATTCAGGTGCCAAATCAGCCATGCCTTCAAGACACAAAGACGCAAGTTGCTTCAAAGTACAAATGCGGCTGCATGCGTGCACGCGCGCAGCGCTTGGGGGGGCGCACCTCAGCGCGGGTGGGGATGGGGAACTCGATCATACCTCAGCGCGGGTGGGGATGGGGAACTCGATCATACCTCAGCGCGGGTGGGGATGGGGAACTCGATCATACCTCAGCGCGGGTGGGGATGGGGAACTCGATCATACCTCAGCGCGGGTGGGGATGGGGAACTCCATCATACCTCAGCGCGGGTGGGGATGGGGAACTCGATCATACCTCAGCGCGGGTGGGGATGGGGAACTCGATCATACCTCAGCGCGGGTGGGGATGGGGAACTCGATCATACCTCAGCGCGGGTGGGGATGGGGAACTCGATCATACCTCAGCGCGGGTGGGGATGGGGAACTCGATCATACCTCAGCGCGGGTGGGGATGGGGAACTCGATCATACCTCAGCGCGGGTGGGGATGGGGAACTCGATCATGGACTCGAGGAGATGCGACGCCACAATGACGGGCTTGTTGAGGGCGCGGCAGAGGTCCACCATGTCCTGCTGCACGCCCGGCACGTCCTCCAGCGGCACCTGCGCGCCCAGGTCGCCCCGCGCCACCATCGCCCCGTCCGACGCCGCTATGATCTCCTCCAGCCGCCCCACCGCCTCCACACTCTCTATCTTGGCTATCAACGCTATGGGGCTGGGGGAAGACAGGGGGACGGCGGAGGGGAGTGGGGGAGGGGCGTGTGGTGATGGGGGAGGAGGTAACGAGCCATGTGCTGTGAACTTATGGTGGCAGGTACCCAGGAGGAAGGCGGCGCACAGGTGGATGAGAGAGGGGCGGGTGAATGAGTGTGATGCGAGGGAGTCGAGACAGCTGCACCCACCTGCACCACACCCACCACACGGCACGCACCGGGAGGGAGAGCGCGCGTTTACGTAGCTGCGGAGGTGCGTGACGACCTCAGGTGAGCGCACGAAGGAGATGGCTATGAAGTCCACCCCCTCCGCTATTCCAAAGTCTATGTCTATCCAGTCCTGCCACAGGGGGAGGGACGGATGGCGAGGGGGGGATGGAATGGAAGGACAGAATGCAGCAGCGATGGGCGTGAGAGGCAGGGATGATGCATGGTCGGATTATCAAGTCATGGTGCAGGGTGGTGCATGGCTGTCCACGGCAGGGCATGGTGGTGCATGGTGGTGCATGGTGGTGCAGAGTGGCACAAGGGGCTGACCTTGGAGGAGATGGTGGGCAGCATGGCGTTGGTGGCGCGCACGAGGTGGCCATTGCGGAAGATGGTGAGGTTGGCGCGTGGCAGCAGCAGCCCCGGGTCCAGCACGCTGCACACCACGTCGGGCCCCATGCGCGCCGCCACCTGCAGCCGCGCCATGCCCCCGTCCACCACCACCTCGTCGCCCTCCCTCACGTCTGATGGCGGGGAGACGGGGGAGGGGGAGGGCGGAAGCGATGGGTATTGGGACAATGGGGTGGTGGGAGCGCGGAGCAGAGAAAGCAGAGAAGGTGGAGGAAGTAAAGGAAGGTGTCCACACAATAGCAGCGGCCCCACGACGTCAGCAAGGCAACAGTTGAGCGCATGAGCAGGGGAGCACGCACCGTCAATGAAGCCGTCATAGTTGACGTGCACGGTGTTGGGCGGCAGCGCCATGCCGTCAGGGAACTTGCGCACCGTGAACGTCCACACGTCGCCCTCCTGGTGGGGGGACGGGGGGCGAAGGATAGAAGGGACGCGGGCACAGTGGGAGCAGTGAGAGGAGGAGGTGATGTGTGCGAGAGCCGTAGATGCCGCAGGCTGGGACTGTTGACCTGTTGACCTGTGAGCGGACCTGCCCTCCAGCCCCACAACTGCCCCTCTTATTCCCAACCGCGCGTCCACGTTACGCTACGCCACGGCACGGCAAGCATGGGGGAGGGACTGACCGCGACTTTAGCGGAGGGCGCGCCCTGGAGGTCGCTCATGTGGATCTCGCTGCCCTCCGTGTCCATCATCACCGCCACGCTGTACCCGCGCTCCGCGTTCAGCCGCCGGATGTCCGCCATCACCTGCCTGCGCGCATGGGAGGTGGGGAGGGGGGGGCACGCGGCAGCAAGGGCATGGATGGTTATGGGATGGTGGACGAGGAACCGACGACGGACTCGATGACATGCGGGTGCTGCTGCTGGCTGCAGAGCATGGCGGCAGGGCGAGAAAGGCAGTTGCAAGGAGACAAGGGCCACGCCCCCCTGCGGCACGGATCACGCCACCGCGTCAGCGAGTCCTGCCCATGCCATCGGCCATGGACTACCGATGCCACTCAGCCCTCGCCAATGCCATGGCTCCTACCGGTGCCACGCGTGCGTGCCGTGGCACATGTTGATGCGCGCCACGTTCATGCCGCCCTCCGCCAGCGCCGCGATCTGCTCGAAGCCGCAGCACGCCGGCCCGATGGTGCACACCAGCTTCGTGCGCCGCGTGCTGCGCCACCCGTTGCCCGCCAGATCCGCCGCCAGCTGCGCTGACTGATCGGCGGCCTGCGCATAAGGGCGAGATTGCGCACGAAGCAGCGGCGAGGGGGAGGGGAGAGTGGAATAAGCGAGGGCCACTGGCGTGTACTTGACGACTCGAGCCGAGTTCCTGGGCAAGCGCTTGGAGTCCATCACGCGCCGAATTCTTGGTCGGCAACCATTCGAACACGAGATAGGGTCGATTACGGGCGGAATTAGCATCAAAGAAGGCAGCGAAGGCGAGAACCTGAGATCAAGGTATGGCGCTGAGCATGTTACCAATCGCCTCGCGATGTGGCACGAATGTTCGTGATTTTGTTCTTATGGTGACTACAGGCGTGCCGACTATCGATCATTTCCCACTCGCACCTGAGGCAGATCCCCGCCCAGTTGATCGTTGCTCTGCCCATCCTCTCTTCTTGCCACGTCAGCAACAGCACATCGGGCTGCCCCACGTGATTGCACGATGCGCCTTGTGACATCTCGCGGGCGCGGGAGGAACGGCAAGGCTCTGAGTCCAGTTCGCGGCGAGGCGGTGGACACTCTGACCAGGGCCGCGGGCGCATGCGCGAAGAGGGGGGTGATTGTGGCAGTCACCATTGCAACAGCAGCGCTTGCGCAGTTGGAAGGCTGACCAGATCCGATGGGGTCTCGAAAATAGAAAATGGCTTTGAAGCGAGGGCGGAAGAATGGGAGGAGACAGACGACTGGATGCTGCTCGATGGAGTTTGAACTTCAACCCGATGACAGACGTTACATAGCTAACCACGTCGTAACTGAAGTCTGTGAATTCCCTAGGTTTCGAGGTCGGTGTCTCATATATGACACGCGAACCAATTGCGCTGCAACCTTCCTTTGCCAAAGCGGTGTATGTTGCGGTGGGCTAGTCAGGACGCGGCACCCCTAGCACCGATCCTGCGATCGATCCTGCGCAGGATCGAATGTTTTAGGAGTTCAAAATGGTATCGAAAGATTTCAATGTTTTCAAAAGAAATTCAGCACGGTTGAATCAGCGAACCTGCGATCGATCGTGCAAAATTGCTTGAGGTGCCGCGTCCTCAGACGACACAGACGTTTCGCCAGCCCAGGTTCGTGACGGCCTGGACATGGATTCTTGGGGGCTGGGCAGGCATGCTCGAACCGTCTTAAGGACCGGTATAATTCCCGATTGCTTAATTTAGAAACTCTGAACCGCGCCCTTAAACATGGAAGGTAGAATGCCGAGAAGTGGGTGCATATGCGTAGCGGTGGAGGTTGTTCCGCTATGGCGGAACCCCAAAGGAGAACGACTGCAACGCATGATTCTGCTGACGATGCTGCGCCGCAAATGATTCAAGCTGCGGTTTCCATTCGCGATGCGAGTCATCAACATTCGATGGCGAATCCCAAGTGCTGCTCCAGCGAGGAAAGCGCTGTGATTGACGTGGAATGACAGTCACGGAAATTCTTATCCGAAGCAGTTGCCCCCGTACGTCTCATCTGTACTGTACTGTAATTCTCGTACATGTTTATCACCTTGAGGATCACGTCGATTTTCAAACGAAGGAACTAATAAAGAGGATGACAGGGCAGCTGGTTTGGTTCATGCCCGCCTGCATCGAGATGAGCAGAGCTGGAGCATGTATTCCCTCCCTAGCTATCCCTCTGGGCCCTGCCAAAACCTCCCCAAACCGTCTCCGACCCAACCCCTCCTAAATCGATCACTCAAACTACACCCACTTCCTTGTGAAACCCACCCAGAATCCAAGATCAACCACACTCGATTGTGAAACCCCATGACAACACGCTTCACATTCACGTCTCCCCGCCCAGCTTTCCTACGACCTACACGTTGTCTTCCTGCACGAGACACTTCTTATTCCGGTTGATGCACTTTCTCACGAGTCGGCCAAGCACCTTTTGGTCCCACCCGTTGATAAAGTCGCTGTGGTACTCAAAAGGGCTGCCCGTGCCGCCGCTCTGAATGGTGGAGAGGTAGACAGCGGGGTTGCCCTTGACGCCGTTCTTGGGCCACGTGAGGTCGAGGTCCGTGTCGACGGGGTAGTACACCTTGATGCTGATGCGCGGCAGCGGCACGGGGTGCGACGACGGGCACGTGGTGTTTAGCGGGATGTGCACCACGTGGCTGCGGTGATCCGCGCTGTCGATGTTCTTGCCGTCCCAGCACACGGGGAAGTTGATCTTGCCAATCAGCTGGTCGCCCGCAGGACACTTCTGGTGCGGAAAGTCGTTACCGTGCTTGCCGCGCGCGCCGCACCACCATTCCACGTTCGCCATGTCGTCAGCTTGTTTCTGTGACGAGAAAATGATGGGAAATTGGGGACGGTATGCAGGGGAAATGATCACCAAGGACTCTCTATGAAATGACAAAATTGCTTAATCAAGAAACTGCGAATGTTATTTGAAGGACGAAAAGGGAGAGGGGAACATACAGATCCTGCGAATGGGTTGCCTGTGAGCATCCGGAAGCCCCGCGGGAAGGGCATGATGGTTTCCGGGTTCTTGACAGACGTGCGGTAGTAGAAGAGCGTCCAGTTGGGCTTTAACTGCAGCACGGAGGTGGAAAGGGAGGGGAGGAAGAAAAAAAAATGACCCACGCGAACATGAACGAAGAGCGAAGGGTATCGAGAACATAACGTTTCCGTTTGGTTTCCGCCTTGTTTTGGTTTTTTTTTTCTGCTCCTCCTTTAGCATATGGCAAAATTTCCTGACGTGCGCCCCCAAGCGTGTGAACTAGTCAGCGTGGCATGACTCACGTGCTTGTAGATGTACTGGCCCTTGGCGTCCTTCTGGTTGGTGCGCATGAACATGGACGGGAACCAGTACGCTGCTGAGTCCGCCTTCAGCCCGCACGTTGTCTTGCTGCCCACCAACGCCCTGGCTGTCGCATGGCACGATGGGAGGAAAGAAACAGTCAAGAGGGGTTTGATGAGGGAGGAAATTAGAAACCAGCACGCGCTCGTGTTGAGTGGTGGAGGAAGCCTTGTGATCCCAGCAAGCTTTGGCATTTGCAGTACTGACCATCAGTGGTGTCGGCTTTGGTGATGGTGCTGCCGAGGAAGTCGTGCAGGTGAGACTTGCCGGGCTGCCCAGGGAAGACGATGGGGTCATCCCGCAGAGCGTGGCTGAAGTTGCAGCGAATGCGGAACTGCGCGCGAGGCACGCGCTCTGGCCTCAGCAGGAGGTCCGCCGTGGTCGTGTGAAGGAGGGACGCGCTGGCTACGGTCAGCAATATGACCGCCAGTCGGAGGAGCGAAGCCATTACTAGTACTAGCAGTCACGGTGAAGAAAGTGAACCGCACTCACGTGAAAAAACCGAAATTGAAACAGACGAGAACGTCAGCCAGCAGTTGCTCTGCTGGGCACCGAATAAATGTGGGAAAAAGTTAGATGGCAGTGGTTGTGGAGGACGTGCAGAATAAATAGTGAGAGAGAGAGCCAATCCAACTTTGGCTACCCTTTGCGCGTTGCCGTCAATGCACCACCGAACGTGACGCATGCACAGAAGGACCGCTTTGCTTTTGTAAGCACATGTCATCACGACCTTCGGAGGGGTGCTCGGCTGAAGCGAACCATTTGTTGCGCGACATTTACCTAATCGTCGCCCCTTCTTGATGGTGATTGTCGCAGCAGCCCCTGTTTTGACTAGAATTGTACCTCACGGCCTGCAGGTCTGCAAATTCCGAATGTCGCAGGCGTCGCATATGAGATCGACTATCGCATATCTCGAGGCGCAATTGTGTTGGATTTGCGCTTGCTGTTGAGACCGAAACGCAAAAGCATGCCTTCTTGGTACAGTGTAGGACGGTGTCTCTGTGATCGCCATCGATGGAAGGTACGGATTTACTGCAATCTTGTGAGCCGTCGATATGTACGGTTAGACTGTCTTGACACTTACCGAACGAACCTAATAGCTTCGGCAACCTTGACCTCAAGTAGCCATGCGAGCGGGAGCGCAACTGTGGAGCTAGGCGCACCTCCCAGATAAGCGGACTGCGTGGATAAGCACAGCTGTAGAATCCAAATCAGTACAATGTAGGTAGCTAAACTATGTTGCTTACTAGGTTTACTTCTACATCTCATACAACACCTACTTTCGAAATGACTGGCTTAGGCTGAAGACCTCATCGTCGGAGGCTACCTCCCATGCCCAAACCTGTGCCTACACTCGAACATGCGAGATCCCTCCCGTAACTAGGTTCTCTCGAGGAAGATCTTTCCTACTCCTCTTACGCCTCCTCTCACTCTTCTCATTCGCCCCCTCACCCCTCATACATCAAGTCAACCAGGGAAAATCCCTCTTCCCCTTACCCTCATTTCTCCACCTTCGTGCACTCTCTCACTCTCAACCAGTCCCTCTCTCTCTAGTCCTCCTACACCGCCTCCTTTTCCTCCTCCCTCACCCCCACTCTCATGGCACAAAGGCTTTGTCCTTGTCATATATCTGAATCCTTACCCATTCTCTTATTTGCAGCAGAAACATCAGCAGGTTATGTTTTTTCACGTGTTTCACCAGGTGCCTCTCATGAGGAGAGCTCCCATCTAGTAGAATTGACTACTATGGGGGAAGTGTCAAAATGAGGAATGATGATGCCATTGATGTTGGTTGGGGTACATATAACAAACCCTAACTTCTGTACCCCCTAAGACAAACCTCACTACAGGCTACAACATTTGACACACCCCCATAGCCTAAGTGAGGGGTGTCTAGCAAAATAAAAAAAGAGTACGGTCACAAGACCAGTCCAAAAGAAAACAAAGCTCAGGGTGGATCACAACGTCACCACACTCTCTGAGCACAAGCAACAGTGGCCACAAGGCCAGTCCAAGAGATCACAAGTATATATAGCAAGAGTACAGACGAAGCAGGCAATAAAATCAAGCCTACACATGACTAGAACCTGTGTCAACAAGGCCTAACTGCACACAACACCTCTGGTGGTCACGAGGCGGAAGCGCCTTGGTGAAGATGTCTGCAGTGTTGGCCTCGGACTCCACAAACTCGAAGCGAGCCTGTCCACGTCTCTGCAACTCTCGTAGAAGAAAGTACCTGACGTGAATGTGCTTCACTCTGCTCTCCAGTCGCGGCTCACGACAGAGGAGGATCGACGCCTTGTTGTCAGTGAACAAGGTCGGTGCAGAGCTCGGCCGCTCACCAAGGTCGGCGAGCAAGAAGGTCAACCAACGCAACTCCTGTGCCGCCATGGCACCAGCGTAAATCTCAGCCTCAGCTGTAGAGGTCGAGACAGAAGAGGAGCGCGTGGAACGCCAAGAAACAGCTCCAGAACCCAGACTGAAACAGTACCCCTGAGTAGACCTGTGAGTCTCAGCGTCGTCAACGTAAGAGGAGTCACAGTGACCAGTGAGTACGACAGACTGCTGCCCTCCAAGAACTAGCCCTACGCCTGATGTAGTCGCTAGGTACTTCGCCACCCTCACAGCTGCCGTCCAGTGAACAGGACGGTGTCTCCCTGGCGCAACAAAGCGCGCAAGGATGCTGAGAGGGAAGGCGAGGTCCGGGCGAGTACAAGTCATCAGGTACATGAGGCAACCCACAAGCTCTGCGTAGGGACCACTAGGCTCAAACGGCTCGTCAGGAAAGGGACGAGTGAGTCTGTGGTCAACAGCGAGAGGTGTGCGCTGTACGGTGGAGTGCTGAAGCCCGAACCGCTGAAGGACCTGCTGCACCATGTGTGACTGTGAGAGTGTAATGGTGCGAGCGGCTCTGTCCCTGGTGATCTGCAGGCCAAGGTAGTGGCGCAGCTCACCAAGATCAGTGCACGTGTGTCTCTTCTGCAGTTCGGACTTCACGTCTGCCAAAGCAACCCTGTCCGGAGTGGCGAAAACGAGGTCGTCGACGTAAACCAGAACAAAGAACGGTGTGGAGCCACGACGAACAAACAGCGACGGGTCGGCAGAAGACGGCTGGAACCCAAGGTCAGAGAGGGTAGAACGCAGAGTGTCGTGCCACTCACGAGGGGCCTGGCGAAGACCGTAAACAGGTCGCCTCAGCCTCCACTGGGTCCCAGGAGGGAAGGTGCCAGTGAAGGCCGAGGGACGACGCAACCAGACCTCCTCGTGTAGGCTGCCCTGAAGGAAAGCAGTGGAGAAGTCGAGAGAGTGTAACTCGTAGTCTCTCTGTGCTGCTACGTGTAGTAACACCCGAAGAGTGGTCATCTTCGGGGTAGGTGCGAAGGTCTGAAAGAAGTCAACTCCCTCGCGCTGACTGAAACCTCTAGCCACGTAGCGCGCCTTGAAGACCGGGGGAGATCCGGGTGGCCGCTTCACCCTGTAGATCCACATGCCGTCGACTACGTTCGCCCCAGGGGGGGGAACCTCATCGACGTAGGTGCCTGTGGATCTGTAGGAGGCCATCTCTGCGTCCATGGCAGCTCTCCACTGAGAGGCCCAAGGCCCTGACACTGCCTCAGCGTAAGTGCGAGGAGTCGGAATGTCAAGGGCGTCGGGGTCACCCTCAGGGGCGAGGAGCATGGCACAGAGATGAGGGAAAGCGGCCGCCAGGAACTCTAGCTCAAACTGCCTGTCCTCTAGGGCGTCACAGCCAAGGGCAGACACACCCCCGACGGCCAGAGGACTGGTAGGAGGAGCAGCCACAAGCGTGGTGACGTAGTCAAGGCGGCGGGTAGAGGCAAAGTCAGTAACTGCGGCAGTAAGAGCGGACACAGAGGACACAGAGGCACGAGGGTGAGTAACAAGAGAGGCGAGAACACGAGAGAGAACAGGACGGTACGTGCGGTAGTAGTCAGTGACAGGAGTAGGGAGCGACACAGTGAGGGCCGACTCAGGAGGAGACGGAAGCACAGACTGAGACGGACGAGGTGGACTAGAAAGAAGGAAGGCAGTACGAAGGTCAGTGAAGGGAACAGGAGACGAGGGACGAGCACGAGGGGAGCGACGAGTAGCCCAAGAACGAGACGGAGGAGGAGAGGACAAAGGCGGAGAACTGGGGAAAACAGCGGGGGAGGAGTCAGGAGGAGGAAACGTGGGACCGTAGACAGGAGGAGAGGCGGAGGAGGGAGGAGAAGGGGAGGGGAGACCAAGGGTTCGAAGACCCGAGACAGGAGGAGGAAGTGGCTGCTGCTGCTGCTGCTGCGACTGCTGCTGCTGCGGAAGCGGCTGCTGCTGGGACTGCTGCTCCTGCGGGTCCAGCTGCTGCTGGTGCTGCTGCTGCTCCTGCGGCTCCAGCTGCTGCTGCTGCTCCTCCAGCCGCTGTAACTCCCTCTCCTCTCTCTCCAACGCCAGCTGCTCGTCACGGGCACGGCGAACACGAGCCTGGTGCCTAGTCGGGTAGGGGTGGGGGGGCGGAGTAGTGTCCGAAGCAGCGGTAGCTCCAGAGTCCACCCCCGAAGAACCAGGCGCACCACCCCCAGAGGCAGCACTAACACCAGCTCCAGACCCAGGCTCACCAGAACCCGAAGGAGGCGCACTCTCACCCCCAGTGTCCGCGCGACCAGCACCAGCTCCCGGACGACAAGAGTCCTCTGCACCCACCGGGTCAGCTCCAACTCCAGAACCAGAAACTCCAGCTCCAACTCCAGCTCCAACCCCTGCACCCCTAGAACCAGAAACTCCAGTGCCAACTCCAGCTCCAACTCCAGCTCCAACTCCAGCTCCAACTCCACCACCCCCAGAACCAGAAACCGGTACAGGAACAGGCGCAGCACCAACCTCTCGAGAGCTAGCACCTGCGGCACGCTGCGAGGAGGACTGTGGGGAGGGAGGCTGTACCGGAGAGGCTACCGAAGGAGGAGGGGTAGCCTGGGACACACCTGACGGGGCTGGACCAGGGGGGGGAGGCTGTACCGGGGGAACAGGAGGGGGAGCGGCAGTCAGGAAGAGGGGGGGAGGAGGAACCTGGAGACCTCGACTGGGGTACCTGACGTAGTACGGAGTGGACTCCTCGAAACGGACGTCACGGGAGTCAAAGAACCGGTGAGAGGGAGGGTGGTAAAAGGTGAAGTCAGAGGAGTCCTCAGGGAAACCAAGGAAGACACAGGGGACGGCACGAGGCGAGAGCTTGTCCGCGGAGGTGTCGCGGACAAGAGCCAAGCACCCCCAGACACGAAACCGCGACGCAACATCAGGGGACCCTGTCCAAAGACTGGTCGGTGAAACCTCTGGTCGAGAGACACGTGGCCAGAGGTTCAGCTGGTGCGCGGCGTACCTGACCGCGTAGGGCCACAGAAAATGGGGGGCACAGGCGTGAGTCAGGGAGGTGCGGGCGATCTCCATGACCAGGCCTATGCGGCGCTCAGCAACCCCATTCTGTTGTGGGGACTCTGGAAGCGTCCAGGACTGACGAATGCCCTGCTCGCGACAGAATCCAGCGAGAATGCCGGAGCGAAACTCACCCCCACGGTCGGAGTGGAGGCAGCTGACACGACGACCACGAGTGTCCTCGGTGGTGAGCAACCACCTGATCAGCGTAGAAGTCACCTCAGACTTCTTCGCCAGAGGGAACACTGTGGTGTAGCGGGAGAAGTCGTCAACGACCACCAGAAAGTAGCGCTCACGCTCAGGGCCTAGACGAGGGGCGGGGCCCCAGACGTCCAAGTGAAGCGTCTCAAAAGGCTCGGTGGCCGGACGAAGGGAGGAGGAGTGAGGGGCGGCGCGCAGCCGACCCTCGACGCAGGGACCACACGGCGGCGCAAGCGAAGGCGGCAGCGACGGCAAGACACGTGGGAGGCCTAGGACAAGATGCTGACTAGACATAGCGCGCAGACGAGGAAGGGACGGGTGCCCCATCCGGTGGTGCCACAGAACGGTGGGGTGGGCAAGCGACCGGCAGGAGCACGACGCAGCGACTGGAACAGACGTAGGAACCTGACACGACACAGACACCTGGGGGGACGAAGCAACCTGGTGAGACGCGGGGACCCGAACGGGGGGGGGAACCGGGGGCAGTGGCAGTAGGGGCGGCTGCTGGTGCGACCGCTGGTGCAGCTGCTGCTGCTGCTGCTGCGGCTGCGGCTGCTGCTGCTGCTGCTGAGGAATGATACCATGTCAAAATGAGGAATGATGATGCCATTGATGTTGGTTGGGGTACATATAACAAACCCTAAATTCTGTACCCCCTAAGACAAACCTCACTACAGGCTACAACATTTGACAGGAAGCACCTGTGATGCTTCTGTTGCTGCTTGGGGGGGAGCTAATCTTATTGAGTGCACCAATGCAACAGGTACACATTCATCCCAAACTCTACAATGGTGGGAGCTAGACTGTAGGGTAGGCACGAGTTGGTAGAGTGATCGTAGCTCTGTCTGTGTTCTCTAGGACTTGTGTTTTCAGAGGGCAAAACAACAAGAATTTCACTAAGGAAAAGTTGAGGATACAGAGTTCAGAATGAACAAGCAATGGCAAAGAATTGACTACATCACATGCAAGGTTTGCTAGTGCTCAGGCAGGTCGACTGCTAGCGTGACAGAGTTGTCGACCTGCCAACGTAGCAAGTCTGCGGCTTGCCAACGCAGCTTGTGTGCGGCTTGCCAACGCTGCAGAATGGCGGCATGCCAGCACTGCACTCACGCGGCTTGCCATCGCAGCATTCGCGCGGCTTGCCAACATTGCATCCGCATGTGATTGTAAGTGCATGTGCAAGCACCTACTTCGCAGGTGCTTGTAGACAGTTACGCACGATGTGCATTGTCCCACGCATTGCGCAGGTTGTCAGCCACATGCTGACGGTTGCACCTGATGAGCCACATCGACCACGTCGTAACTTGGTCAACCAGACGAAGTCCCTGACATCTCTGCAGGATGATGACCTTCGTCATCACCGGTTGACGACCTTCGTCGTCGCGGGTCAACGACCTTCGTCGTCGGGGGTCGACGACCTTCGTCGAGCACCTTCGTTGAACACCTCGGTCAACATTTCAAAATGTCAGCCCCTGATTGGTCGAAATTAGGGCACATTCGAATTTCTGGCCAAAATTCGCCTGTGCAGTCTCAAGGGTGCGCAGGGTCAGACGCGACCCTGCGCAGACGAACATCCGCGAACTTCTGCACGAGCTGCGCCACTTGTACATGCGCACAAGAAGTCTGAGTTGCACTCACGGATGCTTCGATTACTCTTGCATGGATTCCCTAATACACCTCGTGTACAGGCAACCCTCGTACACCTGCAGACGGTCGGCTGCACCTCCCGCACACCCGACCATGAAGTCAGTTTTGCCCATGCGAGGGCGGGGCCAAATTCCTTCAACAACTCCCACTTCCAGCTCCTTCTCCTACTCCCCACACCCAATCACCACTCTGAATCCCCAACAAAATTCCGACCTCTCTATCGGTTACTCATCTCCCCTCATATTTTATCGTCTTCCATCTTCTTCCTCCTTTCCTCTTCTTTCCGTTCCCTTCTCCTCGCCCCCCGCCCCAAACCTCCCCCACCTTCCCCCCCGAATTCCCTACGCTATGCCGCATTCATTGCATGACAGTCCCATGTCTCACACTCATGTAAAAAATTATCCACACACCCAACTTCCAATTCAAACCTTGCCGGCCTAATGATGAACATCGTTCCCCTTCTTTCCTCTTCTCCCCAATTTTCCCCCTCCTTCTCCCCCTCTCCCCCTCCCTCTCCCCTCCCCCTCTCTCTCCCCTCCTCTTCACTCACACCAGGTCGCACAGCATATAGAAGGCCCAAACCTCACAATTACCTCTGTCATCATCCGCACACCCAACTCTTAACAAGAGAAAGGAATGAGTAAAATGAGAACGCACGAAGGAGGATTTGCAATCCTCTACCCTCGATAGGGCACCCCAACCTAACCTGCAATAGTACACATACAAATATAAATATGTACGTTGACACACCCCCTAGTTAGGGTAGGGGGTCGTGCCTAACAAGTGAGACACAAATCAGGGCAGCACCACTAGTCCAACCATTGAAGTAAGAGGCAACAAGGCCAATTAGCAACAGAACAACTCACTGCGGTACGTGGTCATGAGGCAGAAGCGCCTTAGTAAAGATATCAGCAGTGTTGGTCTTTGAGACCAAGCGTACTACGCGTGCCTGGTCACGCGGTTGTAACTCACGTAGCAGAATGTACCGTAGCTGGATATGCTTCGTTCTGCCCTCTGTCATTGGCTCTTGATGCAAGAGGACCATGACCATGTTATCAGCGAACAGGACGGGGGCAGAGCTAGGCAGCTCACCTAAGTCTGTGAGCAAGAGCGTTAGCCATTGGAGCTCATGAGGATACATAGCATAAGCGTAGATCTCCACCTCACGGCTGGACTATGCCACTGACGACGAGCGAGTGGGTCTTTACGAGACAGCTCCAGCGCCAAGGCAAAAACAGTAACCCTGAGAGGATTGAAGAGTCCCAATGACGTCTTCCCACAACGCAACTTGTGTCCTATGAGTGCAACTAGCTGTCGTCCACTGAGCACAAGCCCCATGTCTGATGCACAATCCATCTAGCGCAATACCCTCTTAGCAGTCGACCAATGCTCAGGTCGGTATATCCCATTCGCAAACAAGCAAGCAAGGTTGTTGTGAGGATATACGATGTTTGGCCAAGTGCAAGTTATCAAGTATATCAGACACCCTACCACCTCTACGTACTGATCACTGGGCTCAACCGTGCTTGTTAAAGACAGGGGCCGAGTGTCAGAACATTATAGCTTATGCTTTTGTGTAGGCTGTAGTGGGGTATCCCATAGGGGGTACAACCCAATTAGGGTTAGTACTTGTACCTACTTCACTCATACTTCATTCATTCTCGTTCTCACTTTCTCATGGTATCGAGCAGGTTCCCTCGTGGGAACTGTTCCTAGGGCCCACCGATCCTCTTTTTTTTCCTGCCCGGGGCACGTCCTGCCCCTGCCCGAAGCGCGCCTAGGGTCGCGCCCTTCTTAGCGGCCCATCGCGTCGCCCTAAGCGGCCCGTCGCGTCGCCCTTAGCGGCCCGTCACGCCGCCCTTACGGCCGCGTCGCGCAGCCCTAACGGCCGCGTCGCGCCGCACTTTCACAAGCGGCCCGTCGCCGCCCTTCTCCTGCGGCCCCCCGCCCTCAATTGCGGCCCCGCCGCCCTCAACTGCGACCCCGCCGCCCTCAACTGCTGCGGCCCCGCCGCCCTCAACTGCGGCCCCGCCGCCCTTCTCTGCGGCCCCGCCGCCCTCTGCTGCGGCCCCGCCGCTCTCACCTGCGGCCCCGCCGCTTTCAACTGCGGCCCCGCCGCCCTCAACTGCTGCGGCCCCGCCGCCCTCAACTGCTGCGGCCCCGCCGCCCTCAACTGCGGCCCCACCGCCCTTCTCTGCGGCCCCGCCGCCCTCTGCTGCGGACCCGCCGCTCTCACCTGCGGCCCCGCCGCTTTCACCTGCGGCCCCGCCGCTCTCGTTGGCGGCCCCGCCGCTCTCACCTGCGGCCCCGCCGCTCTCACTGGCGCCCCCCCCCCCCCGCTCTCACCTACGGCCCCGCCGCTCTCATCTGCGGCCCCGTCACCTGCTGCAGCGCTGCCCGCCACCCGGGCTTCCCGACCCGCCCCACCCAGCCGAGCAGCCGACCGCCGCGCCGCCCTGCAGCAGCACCGCCGAGCCGCCCGGGCAACCGAGCAGCCGGACAGCCGGCCGCCGAGCCGCCCAGCAGCCGAGCACCCGAGCCGCCCTGCAGCCGAGCCGCCCAGCAGCCGAGCCGCCCTGCAGCCGAGCCGCCCAGCAGTCGAGCCGCCGGACCGCCGAGCCGCGCTGCAGCCGAGCCGCCCAGCCGCCCAGAAGCCGAGCCGCCGATCTGCCGAGCCGCCCTACTGCCGAGCCGCCCGAGCTGCCCTGTCCGGTGAGCACAGTGCCTCTTTTGCTACACTGCCCTCACCCTACTATTGCACTGCTAGTCTACTGTGGTCATGGCTACCCCTAGTGTCCTCGCTTTTGACGCTGAGGGTCGAGCCATTGACTTTGACGTCTGGGTAGATGACCTGCAGCTGTTCTTACAGTGCGATAGGGCAGACGGTCTCTCTCTCTTTGACCTCACCTCTTGCGCCTCTCCTGCCCCTGCTGCTGATGCTGACGCCACTGTTTGCTCCCAGTGGGCCACGCGCGACGCTGCTGCACGTCTTGCTGTGCGTCGCCACCTCCCTACCTCCGAGCGTGCGCACTTTAGTCAGTACAAGAGTGCTCAGACCTTGTACGACGCTGTAGTTGCGCGCTACTCCTCCCCTGCCACTGCTGCACTGAGCCGTCTCATGCTACCGTACCTCTTCCCTGACCTTGCTGCCTTTCCCACAGTCGCTGACCTCATTACCCACCTCCGCACTAGTGACACTCGCTGCCATGCTGCGCTTCCTGCTGACTTCTGCGCCAAGAACCCCCCCCCCATGTACATCACTCTCTACTACATAGTCACTCGCCTCCCTGACTCCCTTCGCGTAGTCAGGGACCACTTTCTCTCGGTCTGTCCCACCACACTCAGTGTTGACCTCCTCGAGAAGTCCCTCCTAGCGGCCGAGAAGAGCATAGTCGCTGTAGGGGCCTCTCGTGGTGACCCGCGCACCCCCATCTTTGAGGGGTTCTCCCCCTCCCCCCTTCTGCCCTCTGTTGCCTCTGCTGCTACGGCCGACCTCCTTGGTCTTGAGTCGGTCGGTGCGGCGTCCGCCCCTAGCGGGAGACGCCGCTCTGGCAAGGGCAAGGGGGGCAAAGGCGTTGGAGGAGCGAGCGGGAGCGGTGGAGGTGGAGGCGGCGGGGGGAGTGGGGGTGGCGGTGGGAGTGGAGGTGGGGGAGGAGGGGTCGGTGGCGGCAGTGGAGGCGGAGGCGGCGGCTGCGGTGGTGGTGGGAGCGGAGGTGGCGGAGGTGGTGGCGGTGGAGGCGGCGGCGGAGGCGGCAGTGGTAGCGGAGGCGGCGGAGGCGGCGGAGGCGGCGGGGGTGGCGGTGGAGCTGGTCGCGGGTCTACACAGAGGAGTGGTTCCGGTGGTGGCCCGCGCCAACAGCAGCAGCGCGGTCGAGAGACCCTGTCCGCTTAGCAGCTCCGTGAGTGGTACACTATACGCCAGCGGGGTGGGGGTTTTGGTCCGTGCACCTACGTCCTGCGCACCGGCGACCGTGCGGGTGAGCAGTGTGGGGGTGCTCACCCCACCCAGCGCTGCTTTGGCCGCCTGACGGACGCGTGGCGTCGCCAGTTCCCGGAGGCCACAGAGATCCCTCGCTGGGGCGAGCTGTCTAGGGCGGGAGTTGCTATTAATGATCTTGATTTTGATGCTATTCTTTCTGCCATGTATGCTGTGTCTATTAGTGATGAGGGTGACTGTTACCGGTGTTTCCCGCCCGATTCGGGCATTGGGACTGCTGCTCTAGGTACTGGTGAGGGCTGCTGCCCCAGGTGCTTGTGACGCTGCTGCTCTAGGTGCTAGTGCGTCTGCGTCCTCAGGTACTGGTGAGTCTGTTGAACAAGAATGAATGAACTAAGAGTGAAAATGAGTACAAGTATGAAAACCTAGGAATGTGTACCCCCTATAGGCTAACCCACTGTAGCCTAAACAACTACAACAACATATATAATGTTTGACACACCCCCATAGGCGAAGTGGGGGAGAACTAGGGGTCAGAAGACCAGTCAAGTAAAGCAAAACAAAGCAAGCTCAGGGTGGATCACAACGTCACCACACAATCCAAGCACAAGTGCAAGGCCACAAGGCCAGTTCACATGCAGGAGTAGAGATATATATATAAGACTAAACAAGCAAGAGCAGTGATATATATATGTAACAGTACAAAGAGGGTCAAGAGGAGAGCAAGTGAGGCAAGACAGACACAAGACCCAGCTGGGTACAGCACCGCTGATGATCACAAGGCGGAAGGGCCTTGGTGAAGACATCAGCAGTGTTGGCCTCAGAGGCCACGTACGCAAGTCGCAACTGACCACGCTGCTGTAGCTTACGAGCAAGGAAGTAGCGGAGAGCAATGTGCTTTGTTCTGTGCTCCACTCTCTGCTCCCGACACAAGGCCAGCATGGCCTTGTTGTCGACGTACAGGACTGGAGAAGAACGAGGCGGCTCTCCAAGGTCGGTCAGCAGGTAGGTGAGCCAGCGAAGCTCCTGAGCAGCCATGGCCCCTGCGTAGATCTCAGCCTCACAACTGGAGCCAAGAACAGAAGACGAGCGAGTAGCCCGCCACGAAACAGAGCCAGAACCAAGGCCGAAGGTGTAACCCTGTGACGACCGCTGCGTAGCCTGGTCGTCGGCCCAAGAAGCGTCTGCGTGCCCAGTGAGGACCACTGGACTCCGCCCTCCAAGCACTAGCCCCATGCCCGACGTACTGCACAAGTAGCGCAACACCCTCTTCGCTGCAGCCATGTGCTCTGGTCGGTGTCTCCCAGGAGCAACATAGCGTGCAAGAATGCTAAGAGGGTATGCAAGGTCAGGTCGTGTGCAGGTCATCAGGTACATGAGGCAGCCAACAAGCTCTGGGTACGGGCCACTCGACTCTACGGACTCATCCGAAGGCAGAGCTGAGAGCGAGTGGCGAGTAGACAGAGGAGTGGCCTGAGGCGAGGAGTACGTGAAGCCGAAGCGCTGAAGGACCTGCTGCACCATGTGTGACTGAGTCAGGGTAATGGTGCGGCGTGCTCTGTCCCGGGTGATCTGCAAGCCAAGGTAGCTGCGCAGTTCACCCAGGTCAGATGCACGTGTGTCTCTTCTGCAGCTCGGACTTCACGTAGGCGAGTCCAGCAGTGTCAGCTGTGGCAAAGACCAAGTCGTCGACGTACACAAGGATGTAGAACGGCGGCAGAGAGGTGTCGGTGCGTAGAAACAGCGACGGGTTGGCAGTAGACGGAGCAAACCCAAGAGCCGCAAGCGTAGTCCTCAGTGTGTCGTGCCACTCACGTGGCGCCTGGCGGAGACCGTAGACTGGACGCCGGAGACTCCACTGGGTACCAGGAGGGAAAGACCCAGTGAAGCCAGGTGGGCGGCGCAGCCAGATCTCCTCGTGCAGGCTGCCCTGCAGGAAAGCTGTGCTGAAGTCGAGAGAGTGCAGCTCGTAGTCCCGGTGAGCAGCAACGTGCAGCAGTACCCGAAGAGTGGTCATCTTCGGGGTGGGGGAGAAGGTCTGAAAGTAGTCAACTCCCTGTCGCTGACTGAAGCCACGAGCCACGTAACGCGCCTTGAAGACAGGTGGAGAACCCGGCGGCCGCTTCACCCTGAAGATCCACATGCCATTGACGATGTTCGCCCCAGGAGGGGGGACATCGTCAACGTAGGTGCCTGTGGACTTCTAGGAAGCCATCTCTGCATCCATAGCTGCCTGCCACTGAGAGGAGTAGGGACCCTCTATCGCCTCCGCGTAAGAGCGCGGAGTCGGGATGTCAAGTGCATCCGGGTCTCCCTCAGGGGTAAGCAGTACGGACACGAGATGAGGTGAAGCAGCTGCCAGACACTGGAACTCCTCCTGCCTGTCCTCAAGGACGTCCGTGCCAAGGGCACACTCACCCCCGACGGACGGAGGACAGACAGACTCAGACTCAGCGACAAGACTAGCAGCGTAGTCTAGGCGACAGCGAGCAGCAAAGTCGACGAGCTCAGTGACGAGAGCAGACGCAGCAGTAGACTCGAAAGAAGGGTCAGTGACAACAGTAGCAAGGAGACGCGTGATAGTAGGACTGGTAGCACGAAGAGAGTCCGACTCCGGGTCGGCGAGAGCAGGAAGAGAGGACGCAGGAGGAGAAGGCAAAGGGGCACGCAGAGGAGCAGTAGACGGACGTAGAGACATCCGGTGTGTGCCAGGGGCAGGAGGAGGACGCTGGCGCGAACTACGAGCACTAGCGCTAGTAGGACGGACAGGCGACGCAGGACGAGACGCAGACTCACGACGCTCAGTAAGACCGCCAGTAGGACCAGTGTAAGGAGAAGGAGCAGGTAGTGGGGAGGCCGGCTGCAACTGTAACTGTGACGGGACAGGCTGTGAACACGCTAAGGGAGGAGGACCAGGAGGAGGCGAGAGACCAAGAACCTGCTGAAGGAGCGGAACAAAGTACGGCTGAGGGCGCGCGGCGACTCCAGACACAGCAGGGACAGCACCTGTACCCCCAGCGGCAGTACCAGAACCACCAGCAGCTCCAACGCCCAGGTCCTCAGTACTAGCCTCAGCACCAACGCCCGAGTCCTCAGCACCAGCAGTGGCTCCAACACCAGGGTCCACAGCACCTGCCGCAGCTCCAACGCCCGGGTCCTCAGCACCAGCAGGGACTCCGACACCAGGGTCCACAGCACCAGTCGCAGCTCCAACGCCAGGGTCCGCAGCACCAGCCGCAGCCCCAACGCCCGGGTCCTCAGCACCAGCAGCACCTCCAACCCTCGGGTCCGCAGCACCACCAGCAGCTCCAACGCCAGGGTCCGCAGCACCAGCAGCAGCTCCAACGCCCGGGTCCGTAGCACCAGCAGCACCTCCAACGCCCGGGTCCTCAGCACCAGCAGCACCTCCAACGCCAGGGTCCGCAGCACCAGCAGCAGCTCCAACGCCCGGGTCCGTAGCACCAGGGGCAGCCGGGTCCGTGAGACGAGGCGCACCACTGCGAAGTGTGCAACGGCGCTCGTACCACTCACGGATCCGCTCACGAGAGGGGAGCTCCCGACTAGGAGGAGAAGTACCAGCCCCAGTCCCTGTAGTGCGCCTGGTCCCAGAGGTAACACTCCGGAGGCTGCAGTACTGTAAGTACCACTCACGCAACTGCTCCGAGGAGAGGTCGCGTCCAGGTGTAGCACCCTTAGGCCCAGCACCGCAAGGCTCAGCACCCCCAGTCACCGCACCCCCAGGCTCAGCACCCCCAGGCTCAGTACCCCCAGTGTCCGCACCCCAAGGCTCAGCACCCCCAGAGTCCGCACCCCCAGGCTCAGCACCCCCAGAGTCAGCACCCCCAGGCTCAGCACCCCCAGCCTCCGCACCCCCAGGCTCAGCACCCCCAGCAGGACGAGAGTCGACAGCAGCCTCAACAGGCTCGACCGGGTCTACCTGAGACACACCTGAGGGAGCGGCACCCTGAGGGGGGAGGGGGTCTACGACAGCAGCACCTGGCGCGAGGAAGAGAGGCGGGGGTGGGAGCGGGGCAGTGCGGTAGGGAAAGAGGCGGTAGTAGGGGACAGACTCGTCAAAAGTGACGTCCTGAGAGGGCAAGACCCGGCGCGAGGTGGCGTGGTAAAACTGCCAACCAGGCGCGTCCGGAACAAAGACGAGGAAGACGCAGGGAACAGCACGAGAGGAGAGCTTGTCCGCAGACGAAACGCGGACAAAAGCTCGAGATCCCCAGACCCGGAAACGTGACGCATCGCCAACCTCCCCCGTCCACAGCAGTGTGGGCGAGGTCTCCGGCAAGGAGACACGGGGCCAGAGGTTGAGCTGATGCGCAGCGTACCGGACCGCAAACGGCCACAGAAAGTGGGGGGCAGCCGCATGGATCAAGGAGGTACGAGCGACCTCCATGACCAGGCCAATGCGGCGCTCCGCAACCCCATTCTGCTGTGGAGAGGCCGGAAGCGTGAACGACTGCTCAATGCCGTGCTCAGCACAGTAGGCTGCCAAGAGGTCGGAGGAGAACTCACCACCTCTGTCAGAGTGCAAGCGCAGGACAGGAAAGTCCGAGCGGAAACGCTCGCTGAGCTGGAGACCAGCTCTGCGGATCCAAGGGATCAAAACATCAGGGACCTCACCCTTGGCTCGCAAGGGGAAGACCGTGGTGTAGCACGAGTAGTCGTCAACAACGATCAGGAAGTACCTCTCCTGACCCTGACCACGGACGCGGGCTGGGCCCCACACGTCCATGTGGAGCGTCTGCAAAGGAGCAGTCGTTGGGGGAAACGAGGAGGAGTGAGGAGCGGCGCGCTGCCGCCCCTCGACGCAGGGAAGACAGGGAGGAGCAGGCGAGGGTGGGAGGGGAGGGAGGACTCTGGGAAGACCAGAGACAAGGTACCGGGAGTGCATGGCACGAAGGCGCTGCACAGACGGGTGGCCCAGTCGGTGGTGCCAGAGGACAGTCTCGTGCGCTAGAGAGCGACACGAGCAGGGGGCGGACAGCTGACCTGACGTGGACGCAGACGCAGACGCAGCGACCTGAGGGGGGGCAGTAGTCAGTGTGTACAGATCCGACCCCGGCTGCCGGGTGAAGGTAG